GTCTATTCAAATACATTCACATAAGGTGAAGTGAATGTACATACATAGACGAGACATCATGACGGGGTCACACAATGAGTGTCATGACTCGCCGAACGATTCCCAAGGTAGACTAGCACTAAGTGAGCTAACCACCCTCAATATTTGTTGCGCATTCATTGCAGGCATATGACAACATATGCTCACTACGAAATGCTCCAAGGTGCACGTGAAAGTCCGCATGATGTAGCAATCGTATGATATACATACAAACAATCATGATTCAACATGCAAATGAATTTGGATTTGGTTGTGCCTGATACAAGCCACCCAAAGGGAATTACACTTTGCTCATAGCACAAATGAACCCGTTCACTCACGTATGCACGCAAGAAATGCATTATACGAACGTGAACATGTTGGTGCAAAATGTAATGCTATTAAGATCGACCAACCGAAGGTATATGGTTTATCGAACTGATCGAAATCGTGCGATCGATCAAGCCATCCAATAAGGGACGACCGATCAAATCGAACGGAATCGGGCAAGCTATTGAGCTGACCGAAGGTAAGCGAACGACCAGACCAAACAACAATGGGGGGCTGATCAACATCACATCGTAAAACTATATTTTTATGCATATTTTAAAAAACGTGCATTACACATGGGGAAATGACATGCAAAACACACAAATATGATGCAATGCGATAAACATCCTTATGGAAAATCAAAACCACTTATCGAACTCACATAGGATCTAAAACCCAAATGAATGGAGAAGTGTACCGACATTTTATTGTGTGTGGCAACAAGACACTCACTTTCGTTCGCCCGACATAAAGCTGAGGTTTCTCGCAAGGAGAACTCTTCGTGACCGAGAGAAAGAAGACCAAAGCAACGTCTTTATTCTCTTGGTTGGTAGGCTTCAAATGTTCATCCAAATGAAGTCGTCGAGACAAACAACGAGATTAGTACAATCTCATCTTGAGCTATGCCAACCCTAGGAGGGGGATCACAATGAAAAACTTCCTAGTCTAGGGGTTTCTTCTAACATCAGCTTAAATCATATAACTTAACACATAACCTAGGAGGCTTGTTAGAAAGGAAACACACCTAGTTTAGAAAATGTCTCTTTGTCATGGCAGTTGTAGACGTGTTCTCTTGCTTGCTCTAAGCTCTTCTCTTTCAATTGGTGTTCAATGCACAAATCGATGTACCTCGCAAGGCATACGAAGGACGAAAAAGAGAGACATGAGGTATGCAAGTATATATCTTCGATAAACGATCCTAGCATATATAAATATGAACATACCTTTGCTAGACGGTTTGTTCAGGGCTATATATGCCCTAATGTTGTCGCCGCCCCTCTAGTGATCAGAGCTCTGGCAAGGCTTTCGACTGAAAGGAGATGGAAGCCGACGAGATCGCCGATGACTTGGGTCGCCTGCCGCAAGGGAAGGAGGCGACCAAGCTTTGCACGTGAGAGGGAGGCGCATGATCCCGTGAAGGGGAGAGCCGACCGAAAGAGGTGGTGAGATTGCCGACAGACGGATTTAGAGCAGGAATTAACCGATTTCAGTCGTAGATGTTGCAGATTACCTTCATCCATGTGCCTCCTTGGTTCCGTGTAGGAGCGATGCAGATGGGGAGAAGAGATGGGAGTTTCGGGACCTTGTATAAGTCAAGCCGAGAGGACTTTAGGCTTGAGGCGGAAGGTCAAGCGAGCCGCTCAAA